TTTCTCCAGCGGACAGATCAGCGCCGAGCCCGGGGAGCACAGCCTTGGGAGACGCTGCAATGCCGCTGGAGCGTGACCTTATGCAGAGCCTCTCTCGTGGTCCCCCCCTCCGCTGTATCCCTCCGGCTGTCGGGATGTGCCCTGGGATCCCGTGGTGCTTGCGCTAAGTTGGCTTTGCTGGGGCTGCTCAGTGTTGGGCGGTGGTAGCTCCTAGCATCGGGCTGAATGCAGGAGAGGGTCTGAAACGTGTGGGAATGTGACAGGAAGGAGGAGCCCATGAGCAGGATGCTTCAGCACCGACTGCCAGAGGCATCAGGAGTAATGCTTTCACCTGGAGCAGAGGTGCTGGGAGATAAAAAAAAGTCGCAGTCTGAGACTGAGAAAGGACACTTAGAACTCAGTTATCACAATAACATGACTCCTCTCTGTCAAATTACTGTTGAGACCAGGAATATGGAAAAATCAATAACATAAATGCTCATCTTCCAGCCACATAAATATCTGATTTTTATTCAACGTTCCTACCCTATACAAAGTGGCCCTGTACTGCACATTTTCACACACATATGTCTCCTCCTTAAAGGACACAGTTTCTGCCTCACTGGACTCTTCCCTCGTGAGCTAGGTGACAGGTGATAGCCTTCCGTGCCTTAATTTGAAGGGAGGGAGCAGGAAGGAGGCATCCTGGGGACAGCTGTTTGAACTGGTGGTGGTGATTCCATTTTAAGATGGAAATTTCGCAAAGGACTATTATCATAATCTGAACAAAGCTATCCTGTAAAACTCACTTAGAGCTCTGGCCTGTTCTTGGATGGGCACAGAGAGAAGCAATTTGGTCTCTTAGAAGCAAATCAAAATCTTCCAGCTGGGTTTCAGCACAAGTTAACTTCTGTTACTGAGCGGGATTTAGCAGGGTGAGCAATGATCAGAGCTTTTTGGCTTGCACTTTCTGCAGTGAGAATCTGCTGCTTATTTCCATCTGCTGTTATTTAAATACATAGGATTTATGTCCTCGCATCAGATGAATAATGCCTTTCCTACCCCTCTGCTAAACTTGGGTAAAGATTAACCAGATATGGAGCTACAAATCAGTGAAGGCCCAGCAGGATTGTGTTGGTAACACCATGGGATGCACTGCTCTCCTCTCCCCAACCTTTCCTCACCTCCCCTTGCACATCTGCACAGTCCTTAAGAGTTCTTATTTGGAAATTGGTTGTGTGCAGAAAAAGAAAACATGTTCTTTAGGAATAGCCTTCATCAGGGTCCACGAGAGGGAGGAAAACTGCCTCAGAAGATGACACAGAAATGTAAATGTCATTAGTGGCATCAGCGGAGGGGAAAATATATTGTAAGTACTGCAGAACATGTCAGAAGACCTAACAGGAATAAAAATGGCTCTTCGGATTTAAGTGACAGGGTTATTGAGACGGAAGAGAGAACATCTACTTTGGAAGGGGAAGATGTTAGCAGGCAGGAAAATACTTACAAAAGCTGTCAGGACAAAGGTGGAACTGACTGCTTCCAATTTGTCCTTTTGTGAATGGTTTCCAGGACCAGCAGTGTGAAGATCACATGCTTTGTGGCAGAGGTGGTAAACCAGCCACCCTGCTCCAGGAAAGCACGATACAGTTCTCAATGTTGTTTTTCCAAACCAGAAATCAAGAGGTCATCAAGTTTCCATACAGGTAAGCAGAAATGGTAATGGCTGAATGTTCTCTCCTGTTCAAAACTAGAGAAAGAAAAAGCTGACTTCTGTGAGGTGAGGCACATTTCCGATGGGCTCTTTGTGCAAAAGGTCTGGATCAGCTAGCGGAGTGACTGAAAATTCCAAGTGCTGTTTCAGATTAATTGAACAGCTGATGGTGGTGATTAACCATCTTTCAGTGCCAGTAACTTTGAGCATTCATTCAAAGCAGAAGTAAAGCTGATATTGGGGAAATTAGTGTTCTTACCCTACCTTCTGATTTTTCAGCTTCTTAAGGATGAGTCAAATTGGGATAATCTCTCTGGAAGAGAGAAATGTGGGCTTTGGTGAACACATTCCTCACCAGGACAGGCAGAATGCAACTTCTGGGCATGGGGCACCATGTTGGTACTTCAAATCTCAACAAAGTTATTAAATGGGAAGCTGATGTGTTCCAGGGACACTAATTTCAGCTTGCTCAGCAAGCACTTCCACATCAACTTATTTAGATTCAAAATCTTTTTCCTGTTCTACTAATAATTTAGTGTAACTGCCTATCAGGCAGTGTGCTTCTCATTCTCTCCCTGTTTTCTATTCAAAGTAATGGTCAGCATCTGGTAAATATCTAAACATTGTGCATACTAAAAGCTTCTACAGAGGTCTCACCTTTCCCAGCTCCTCATGGCCATGGTGTGGAAGCTGGATCAGATGGCTGGAGCAATTCTCCTATAAGGAAAGGTTGAGGGAACTGAGAGAACTCGTTTAGCTTGGAAAAAAGAAAGCTCCAGGGAGACCTCATTGTGGCCTTCCAATACTTGAGGGGAGCACATTGAACAGGAGGGGGAACAGCTGTTCACGAGGGTGGATCATGATAGGACAAGGGGGAATGGTTTTAAACTGAGACAGGGGAGGTTTAGGTTAGATATTAGGAGGAAGTTTTTCACCCAGAGGATGATGACACACTGGAACAGGTTGCCCAAGGAGGCTGTGGATGCCCCATCCCTGGAGGCATTCAAGGCCAGGCTGGATGTGGCTCTGGGCAGCCTGGTCTGCTGGTTGGCCACCCTGCACAGAGCAGGGGGGTTGAAACTAAATGATCATTGTGGTCCTTTTCAACCCAGGCCATTCTATGAAAATCAAGAGCTAATTCAAAGTGCACTAGCCATTGTAGTTTTAGTCATATTAAATGTATTGTTTAGCCTGAAATGCACAATCTCCTTTTTTATCTTCTTGATCCATCACATGTAAAACATAAATTGCAATAGTGAAATGAAAGTTTAATGAATAAAACACTGCTGAGCATGTGCTGGGAAGCTGGACTTTTAGCACACTAAAGACCTGAGGATTTTCAGCAGCCCTGACTTCATACTGTGCTGTGAACCTTGATACAGTCCTGCACATTGATGCAGGTGAAACTCATCCTTCTGAATGCCTGTGCCTTCAGACTGTGGTGACCCTAACTTGTCTAACATCCCAGACATGCCACACTGAGTCTCTAGAAGAGTTGCTAGTAACATCACAGGTAAAATGAACCTTCCAAGTTCTATGGCTCTGCTAAAACTTGGCACAATTTCATACCACTTCTGAGCGTGGGATCATATAAGTCCTAGCTTAACTTGAATGTGAAACATATGATTTGCTTTGCTGACAAGTTCTTTGAGGTCTGGGATGCTCAAGTTTCAAGCTTTTGAGTTGATGCTGTTGTGCACATACTTGAGCCACTCCATTAGCTTGAGTATGCTACTGTCATTCAGCTGAGGTCAGTGGCACTTCACGCCCTTTCAGTCTGTTATCCATTGTAAGTACTCAGTTCTGGAGATGGATACTGAATGCCATGTGCACCTCCAGGCCTTCTTGAATGTTGTGTTTTCTCAGCCTCATCAACAAAATACTTGCTAATTTTTCTTTGCTGTGCAGAAGTGTGTTGATGTCCTTATGTCCATTAATTTATAGCTTGTTTTTTCTTAATTTGTGAGTCGCACAGTTCCCCATACCAACATACCCTTATTGTATTGCTCAGAGAACCTCTAGCAGAACCTCTCAGCTCTTGCATTCCTTCTGTGCTATTTCAAAGCTGCATTCAGTTCCCTTTGTATCACAGAAAGAATCTCTTTGAATCACAGAATGGCTTGTTTGGAAGGGACCTGAATGCCCACCCAGCTCCCACCGTCGGTGGTAGACAGGGTTGCTCCCCACCAGATCAGGCTGCCCAGGGCCCCATCCTAACAGGCCTTGAGCACCTCCAGGGATGGGGCATCCACATTCTCATGTCCTCTGTTACAAGGAGCTCAACTGAGTAAAGATTTACTTAGGTGTTCACTAATGCTTCTGGAACACATTTTTTTTAAGGCAGTTGTTTGTGCTTGATTGCTAATTGCTGTCCAATTGACTGCAGGTCAGATGTGGTAAGACTCTGACAAGTGGTGAAAGGCATCTAGCAGATGCTTGAAGGGCTTGTGCTTTTACTGAGAACCATCACACCAGGAACTCAAAAATCCTGCCCTCGAGTCATTCATCAGTCAAGAGGCAACCTCAGGAACTTCAGTGGGGCTCTGGCAAAAGTATGGGCTGTTATATGACTCACAGTGTCAGGCGGTACATTTTCACCATAGGAGCAAAACCCTGCCTACGTAATTCAGTGGAAATTACGCTTAGCTGTATAATTCTTCCCGGTACGCTTTTTCCTTTTAACATATTTCTGATTAAATACCTGTATTTCTGCTGTCTAAAACTTCTCAGACAAAAGATGCAATGGTCTTGCATAGTCAGTGACAAGTACTTCTTGTTACACATAATGGCGAATAATAGGCATCCTGCTTTGTCCCAAAGAATGTGGTAAACTCTGTACTTCTTCAGAAGGGTCTCTAATTGAAATCTCTCATCTGTGGAGAGGGAGGGAAAATAGCTCGTCAGGTTGTTTTGACCTAAACTCTACAAAAGAAGCTAATGATTTCAGATGCGCACAAACACTTTTTAAAAGTTTTGAGCATAATCATGTAAAACTAACCACATATTGGAGCTCTCAGGATGACTAATTCTCTATGAGAGGCTTACTGGTACCTTTTCTCTCTGCTTAGGGAATGTTAGCAACAAACTAAGGGAGCTTATCAGAAGAGTACCAGCAGTTCGTGTTACTTGCAGGCGAAAGCTTTCTCACAACAGTCCAGTTTCTATCCTCTCTGACTGCTTTGTGCCACGTTTCCACCTTTGCCAATAAGTTCTGAAAATTGGTGCATGGCGATCAAGGCTAGATCAAGAGCATGGATTCACCAAGGGGAAGTAATGCATGGCCAAGCTTCTACAGTGAAATTACAGGTTGAGATGGATGAGAAGAGAGAGTGGATAATCTTTTCCTAGACTTAGCAAGGCCTTTAACTCTGCCTCCCCTAAACTCCTCACAGAGAAGCTTTTGAAGTATGGGCTGGGTGAGTAGACAGGAAGCTACATCCAAAACTGGCTGAATGGCCGGGCCCAAAAGGCAGTGGTCAGTGATGCAAAATCTAGTCAGAGGCCTAGATTTTGAGTGGAGTACCCCAAGATTCAGTACTGGTCCCAGTCCTATTTAATGTTTTCATAAACAATTTACCTTTAGTAAATTTGCAGATGACACAAAACTGAGGTCACTCCAGTACAACAGCGACATGGAGTCATTGAAGACAGACCAATGCAGGGCCATGAAGATGATGAAGGGTCTGGAAGACCTCTCCTATGAGGAAAGGCTGGAACATGAGGAGGGAGGGAGTCCAGGAGGATCTGATCAACATCTCCAGATGCCTGAAGGGAGGCTGCAAAGAAGATGAAGCCAGAGAGTCGTTTCCGTGGTGCCCAATGGCAGGAAAAGAGGCAAAAAGCATAAACTGAAACACAACAGGTTCCCTTTCCACCATCAGGAAGTGTAACAAAGCTCAGAGAGTTTGTGGAGTCTTTGGAGACCTTCAGAAGACTCTTGGATATGGTTCTGGGCATCCTGCCCTGAGTGTTCCTGTTGGAGCAGGGGTTGGGCCAGATGGACCCAGAGGGCTCTGCCAGCCTCATCCATGTTGGGATTCTGTAACATCAGAGAAGATGATGGGTGAGAGTGAGGGTGAGCATGGGTTAGATAGCCCTGGCTGCTTTGTGCAGGGGCAGCAGATGGAGAAGAAGAGCAGGGAGTGTTTTCCTGGAGAATGGGGATGCAAGCAGGTCTCTTTGGAGGGGTTGAAATATGTGGGTTGCATTGGAAGCTCTTTGTGGGGGCAGGAGTGCATTGAGACATGAATAGGACAGCTGTGTCCCCAAATAACATGAAATCTGTGTTTTCAGGAGGCATTCTGTCTGATCCTCATCACACTCTTCTCTGCTTGCTCTGCAGGGAAGGAAAATGCCTGAACCTTAGCATGGCTCTTGTCTGCTGTGATCTGTCTGAAAACCAAAACTGGCTTGTGAAGGGGCCATCACTGCCTCAGGAATGGCTGGCTGTATGCTGGGCTGGCCTTAGTGCCATACCAACTAATGGGGCAGGTGTGGTCACCTGCTGCAGGACATGCGGTGCCTCTCTCTGAAGCTGCACCTGCAGTGTCCATTAACCAAGCCCTTACAGGTGGTGAGGTGATGGTGGCTATGAGCCACCCCCCAGCACTGTTCAGTGTTGGGGAGTAGCTTTTGGAAGCAGAGATATTTGTGCACAGTGCTGGGTGTGCAACTGTGCAAAAGCTTTAGAAATAGAGTACAATATATATTTTCTTGGTGATGTGAAGCCACAGTAGGTGAGGGATGGGAGTGGAGGAGGCCTTTGTTACACACCTTTTATTATAATATACTTTTTTTTTTTTTAAATTTCAGAGCATTCAGCGGAGGAGGCAGTGTTAAAGTTTACACTGTGTTAAGGCTGAAGCGATTGCAAGGCTCAGAGCTGGTAAAAACCTTCCTATTATCAAAGGATATAAAATGGCTGCTGATTACAAGTGTGGGTGTAAATACATGGCAAACTCACTCCCTTTCCGCAGAACAGACCAGTCTCCTAAGACATGGGGAAGGATGCTGTACAAACAGCTACATATGTTGCAGAGGAGGAGTGGAGCAGGGAAAGGTCCCCATCCTGCTGAAGGAGCGAGGTCTTGGTGCAATGGGAGAACAGATCTCCTGCACAGGAGCTGGTGTCCTGCTGCACAGGCTGCTGCAGCTGTTGTGAAATAACCTGCCTAGGAAGACTCCCTGTCCTGGGACCCCCAGCCCACCCCTGCATAGAGAGTGGATGCAGGTCAGTGCAGGACCCCTTTGCGCTGCTCTTGTGCTCTCTGAAAAGGAGCAGCCAGCCACTGGTGTGCACTGAGAAGCACCTTCTGCCTTGATGGGAAGCTGCAATGTGGCAAGATGAGTAATTAATTAGCCTCATGCTGCCACGGGCATTTCCAGTCCCAGCTGACAACAGACTAATTAAGAACCTCCCTGTGGTGTCTATTTTAGATAACCATTTACTTTGGTACAAATTAACAAAGGCTTCTCTAATGGTTTGTTTCACAGGCGACACATTGGATTAATTTATGGGACAAATAGAGGGAACCTGAACAGACATTTCAAGTTCCCAGCCACCAAAAGCCCAGACAGTTTTGCTGAATACAGCTCTAATTTTATCAGGGCAAAACACTTGCTCCCTTCTAATTCTGTGTGTCATGCCATTTGTTCTTAGACATTACCTTCGCCTCCAGAGGCTCTGGAAGCTGAAGGTGACCTTGCAAGTGCTGGTGGTGCTTGGGGATAGACTGATGGCTCGTTTGCCTCATATGTGCAGTGGCTCCATCCAACTTAGGGTGATGGAGGATCCTGCTATCAGGCCTGGCAGGGCCAGCATCACACTGAATAGGAGCATTGCTTTTGCATCATGGCAGTAGAGTGTGCAGTAGAGGCTCTGCCAAGCCCAGCATGTCTGCAGAAGTGGGGTGGCAAGGAGCTGTCCCCAAGCTCTCAGTCTCTGAGGGGCCCATTGGGCAGGGCTTCTAGACCTTTTTCTAAGGAGAAGCTTGACCTAAGTGGCTGGCAGTGTGGTGCAAATTAAACTGCTATCCTCTTCTAACTATCCCCTACACACTTGTGTGGCCTCCTGAAGTCCCTTGCTTTGCTGCAGTAGCCCCGCAGAGCTCCTGCTCCAGATGAGTGCAGCTTGCCAGCACTGAAGATTTGTGCCCTGGGTTAGTCATTGCCTCTGTGGGCTGGTTTTGAGGAAACAGTCAGCTTCTTTGGATTTTTGTTTACTGCTCTTTTGCAATTTTAAATAGAAGTTTTCAGGAGCGTTGGCTGGTTTCTGTGGATTTTGTGTGCAATGTCCATGGGATCTTGGGTCATGTGCCCTGAGTGCAAGTGAATGGGATGAGTAGACACTGCAGTGCTCAGTCTCTCTGAGCTCTGAAGCTGGTCCCACGCCCATTACTTATATTCCAGAGCAGATCTTTCTGAGGGCCTAAATCTAGTCAAGACCATGAATGCAAGCTATAACAACACTCCAAGTTGCCACAACATGTATTCTACATATTTCTCTGTGGAGGCTTGCTCAGACCCAGTTGTGCACTGTACCTAATGATGCATCTTTGTCATTTTCAAACTCTCTGCAAGTCTTTCTGTGTTGCAATGCTGTAGGGCTCCCAAATCCCTGCAGGTACAATATCTCCTTCCAGACACTGTAAACAGTCTGTTGAGTCCCGGGGCTTGCACTGGAGACCATGGCCATATTTCTGTGGTCATGTTTTTGTACTGCAATATGTCCCCGCTCTGAATTTCTTCCCCTTCTGCCCCCAGGAGCCAGTAGCTGCTGTGCTGTCCCACAGCTTGTTGCAGGATCACTTCCTGCAGTGGATGGGGGCATGCATAATTCCTCCCCTTTGAATGACGCTCTTATTCACAGTGCAGCCTGTGTTAGAGGTGTTGCTATGGCCCTTTCTCTCATTGTAATATATTTAGCCTTAGGTCTGGAAGATGGCTCACAGCAGGCAGAGTTGGTCTAAGGTTACCTCTGAGATTGTTGCTCTGCATTTCTGGTCCATGCAGCCACTGATGCTGCAGGACCCTGCTTTGAACTTCCACTCCTTTTTATTTCTTCTAGCAGAAAGGAAGGAACATTGAGATGATTTCCTCACCTTCCCCCAACATTTTATTTATGTAATATGTCTCCCATACAGTTAGGAAAAGGGAATTAAATTCTGTGGGTACGACTGTGCCAGCAGAGCAAATGTTTTGCTGGTGGTAACTGTTTCCCCATTGCGCCAGCACTGAGTTTGTTCTAGCATTCCAGAAACGCCTCCAAACACTTCACTTTGTGTTCAGAGTGTTCCAGGAATGTCCCTTGTGTCAAACTGAGCTTTAGGGAGAAACTGAATCCCTATGGGAATAGAGCTTTCAGGCGGGAAGAGCTGTTCCTACCGTCAGCCTCAGTCCATCACCCTCCCTGGAATTTGAACCATCTTCTTTTTTGTGCCTATTGCCTTATCACTTCCTTTGGCTGGAATCCCTGTTTCTTTCTGCTGAAATGCTTGGAGGGCAGGCGACTCCCCAACTGACTGCTGATGAAACGAGATCCGCTTTTGGTGCTGCTGAGTTGTGTAACAGCTGCCCACTGTCACTGCTGAGCCAATTTTGGGACAGTGTCATCAGCTTTGTCAATCCATATGTCCCCAGGAGATGTTTACAGGATCAAAGCTTAAGCGCACATTAACTGGATCAAATTCGTAAATGCACATCTGAGATCTGAAATGACGAATGGCACACCCAGCTCTCAGTGGCCAAGCAAAACTGTGCCTCACTGATTTGGGCTGAACTTTTCTGTGAGTTACAGCTATCCAGATAGATTGTCTCTCTTTCCCTCCAGTCCTTACTTGAACATATGTAAATAAGCAAGACAATTTTTAGTATTCTTTCTGTAAATTTTAATTTTTTTTTTTTTAATTAAGTTTGCATTTATCAAGTCTTGCTTTGCGATTGTGAAAAACATCTCATAAAAGACCACTGTGAGTAATACCAAGGTTTTAGTTTCACAGTGCAAATGCGAAAAGGCCTAGTGGGAACCTTCAGAGGTAGCTTGTAGCTTTCTAATAATAAAAATGTCTTATTCAGTGTGGATGTGGGACGCTGTGTCCTGAAGGATGGCCTGTTATTACCTGAACAGCAGAGCCTCCTCCCGTGAGGCCATGCCCTGCATTCCAACCTCTGCAGTTGGATTTGTTCCTGAGCAAGTTCTCGAGTTCCTGGTGCTGGTGGGTCAGCACTGCACAGACAGTGCTGGACTCTGCGTGGCTTCAGCCAGTATTCTGATACCATGCAGCTGACAGGCAGGATTTGGAGCTTGGATGGCTCCTTGTTTGCATGGGTTTGCATGGGCAGCTGGGTAACTGAAACATGTGCCTCAAATACCTCATCTGCAAAGACTGTAGAAAAGACCTGTGGAAAAGAAGGTGTCAGGACTGAGTTTGGGCTTATTTCTCTGGATAATCACAAAAAGCAGGATCAGTTTAGCTCGCTTAATTTCACTGGTTTATTCTAGTTACATTAGTGTACAATATTCATCTTTCATAGTTCAGTAGTGACTTAGACATTTCATTCTAATAGTAGCTTAATTTTGTCAATTAGCTTAGTATTTCTTTAACTGACTTAATTTAAATAAGAAAGCAACATGCCTGGTGTGAAATTTGCAGAGTGATTGAGATGTGGGCCTCCTCAGAGGCCACAGTCCAACAGTAGCTCTAGGTCACTTGTCAACATGCTCAGATGCTGAGCATCTGCAACATGACAGCTGCCTTCAGGGCAGTCAAAGCAATTAAAGAAATATTAATGTTTTTTTTTTTTATTATTTTAACTAACTGTCTCATGTTGTAACAAAACTAAAAACCTTGGCTAAAAGAAAGTACTACATTTTTCAATTGATGTAAGCATCTCTGATAAGGTCAGTTGGTGTCATTTGATGTGTATTTTTTATTCTCCAGATCATGAGATTAACCCCTTTAAATTTTCTTGACTTTGGAAAGTGAAGCTAACTTTGGTTGGTTGGTTGGTTGCATTTTTGCAGTAGTATGTGGGTTATAATAACAAGTGTCATCCCAGTATTCTTGGTGCTTTTGGTCTTCATGTTTCTTTATGGAAACTGCCGGAGTTGTTATTATTATTTTTTCCCCAAGAATAAGCTGTTTGTTTCAGGCTGGACAAATTCCAGCTCAAGTAATTGCACTCTGCCCCAAAGGCTCAATTAATTCAGGCTTCCATAGTGTACAGTGGTTGCACACGGATGGTGAACAGCTGCCCTTGGCCTCACACACATCACTTCCCTTGTACTGTCAGGCCCCATTGGCTGTTGCCCAAATGGCTGCAGCAGGTCTGAATGGCTGTGGCAGGCTCAAATGACTTTAGTAGGCCCAAGTGGCTGCAGCAGGCCCAAAATGGCTTTGGTGCCTGAAGCAAGGTTCTTGTACCACAGCCCTCCTTGTCCTGTCAGCTGCACTGCTCACTGGGGAAGTGAAATAAAGTCCTGCAGGCTGGTGGCTTTTTGCCCAAGGCTCACACGGCGTGTGTTGTTCAGCATGCCCGAGACACGTCTATGTTTGATGCTACCGAAATAATTAGTTATGTCCTGCCCTCCTCGTGATGCTGGCCTATGCTACTGTTCATCTGTAGGGAGGGGAGGGGAGCATCTGTGGGGGTTCATCTGCCTCCTTCCAGGGTCCCAGGACTGCTCAGAGACCAGCTTTGAGTCAGCAGCTCTGTGGGAGCAGGCACTGTTGCTGATCTTTCTTCTGGGACAGCATTTTGGGGACATCAGTTGTTGTTAGCAGGATGAGCTCCTGCTACTGTAGTCAACAGAGAGGCATCTCCCTATGTCTTATTTCCTCTTCCTCACCATGTCCTCTATACAGCCTTACTTTTCCCCATCTGCCCGTCCCATTATCCGTCCTTCATTGTGCCTGCCTGACCCAGATCCACATGACTTTTGACAAGCTACCATTCACCTGCAGCACTACAGAAGGCTGATGCCTCATTCAAAAGATGCCATTTCCTATTTATATTTCTCTAAATGACAGCCACTGCAGACCACACTGCAGAGACCTGGCCTGCAGCTCTGCACCATGCTTGTCCACCAGCTCTGCAGAGTTTTCATGGCCACTGCCGTAGCATCTCCTGTGCTTCAGGTTGTGCCAGACTAGATTGAGGCCCCATTAAAAAAGCGTAACCGTAACTTGTCTCAAAAGGGAACATGGAAACTTGTATGGAAAGCAGAATGCCACAATATGCAAAATACATATTTTGAGTTCTCTTCTCCCCTTGTCCCCATCTACTTCTCTTTTGCTTTCGGTTGTGGTGCAACGAGTGAGGTCACCTGCCTCATGACAAGTTTGCTGTTTGCAGCATGAGTGCGGCCCTCCCAGCGCACTGAGAGTTTCACTTGCTCAAGCAGGCTCCAATAATAGTTTTATTCATATGAAGTCCCCCTGTTTCTGTCACTCTAAATTGTTGTTTTTTACTTATTTAATGGCTGGATAAGCAAGTATTAACTGCATTTCTTCCATGTGCTTGCTTTTCTGCTTAATGATAGTGATATTCTTTTATGTAGTGCTTTAGCACATAAAGTTGGGGGAGTGGTGGTGGTGGTTGTATGTTTTATCTTGCAGGCTGATTTTAAACTTTCACAGCCCTGGTGCTGGCAATGAATCTAATCATACACCCATTGCAGTTCCTTGGAATGGCACTTCTAGAGGGCTTGGAAGGCATTTGCAAACTGCATCACTGACAATGCCAGAAGTTAGTTTGCCTGTCTTAAAAGGCAAATAAAAAAAGCTTAACTCTGAGGGATCCAACTGGACACCAAACTTTCTGAACTACAGAAATTCTAAATTTAAAATTTGGAATGAAGTAAATGTCAAACTTTGAAAGTTTCTTAAGTCCTCAGTTTCCATTCTGAAAAGCCTTCCTAAATGTCTAAAACTCAAAGTATGTGGATTGTAATGATGTGACCAAGTTTTCCACTGGAACTGGCACTGGAGAAGCCCCCTCTGAGAAAGCATCTCCCTGCATTTGTAACATAGAGGTGAGACCCAGCCCTTCGATCCACAGGATGGATTTAAAATTCATCCTGCCTTCACCTACAGGGAGCAGGAGATTAATGGGCTGCTGCTAGGGAAAATGGCAAAGCCCCTTTGGGTAGGAGTCCTGCTGTCACTGTCTGTCTTCAAAAGCTTGTAGTTTAATGCCTTCCCCTTCTCAGCGTTCTTGCTTTTTCCTCCTTGTCTTCCTACTTTTGTGTATGACTACTGCTGCCAATGCAACTTGTGCCTGCTCTATATAAGTCTGATTTCTGTCTTGAGCAGAGCAGTACCAAAAGCATAGCAATCATTTCCTCAGGCCAATCTTGTTTGGTGGTGCAGCTTTGAAATAACAGCCTTGATTTCTCACTTTGCTTAACAGACTCTGTTTCTGACCTGTTTGACCCAGGGTTTCCAGGGCCGGTGAGCTCATTGCTTGCTTTACTTGGTGTCTCTCTGCTTGATGATTTCCGCTTGACCTTTCCAGCTTGTCTTGCTGCTTTGCCATCAGCCAGCCAGGGGGCAGGTGCTGAACAGGAGCAAGCTGGGGATGTGGGAAGTTTAGCTGGTGTGTGTGCATCCCTGCAGTAGCACGAGGTGTGGCAAGAGGATGAGCAGCTTGCTAGTGGAAGGGTGTTGGAGAGCCGCAAGGACTTGCACCAGGGAGCCTGTGCCAGGGAGTATTATGCCACAGAGATAAAACGCTGCAGATACAATTGTGCTAGAAAGTATTTGTTTGTGACTTTCCTTCCAGTTGTTACCCAGAGAACTCCTTGGGGCCAGCATGTGATTTTGCAAAAGCTCAATTATTTCTGAAGGTGACTGCATGCTGTATACATTGTGGGCTTTTTAAATTATTATTATAATGCTGGTTTAGATTCTGTTATGTCCTTTCACGTCCAGGAGATGGGATGTGTGTAGTTTTCCTCAGAGATAATTTGAGTTTTAAAATGCTTTAATTTGATTCTTTTTTTCTTGTTTTTATTCCTTTACTCTTAATTATTTTTCTTTCTCAGCTAGCTTAATGGAGCAGTTATGGAAGCTAAGCTTTACTTTCCAAGTCTGACTCAATTCATGTTCACATACTGGTGTGCCATGCTACCATCTGACAGCTGCCTGCAGCTTACATCAAAATGAGATGGTGGTTCATGTGCAGTGCTTGAGGCATATGGGAAATCAAAGAAAACTAAAAAACCTCTAATTTCACCTGCAGGTTGAGACCTTATGGGCACCCTTGGCTGAGTGCCAAGAAGAGGGATGGGAGATGATCAGAAGGTGCTCTCTAATTGGGAGATGTCCTTATATCTGTGAGTAAACTCACTTTCCTTCTCAGGTCAGAATGTGACTTATGTTCCGGGATGTGTCTCAGCAGCTGGGCACTGTCAGATCTGTGGTTTAATACTGCGCTCTTAGAATACATATGTTGTCTTCAGAGCTTGTCTGTAATCAGAATATTGCTGGTTTTATTCCTTGATTTGAAGTTACTAAAAACCTAGTCGCTCTAGGAGATAAGAAAGTTAGAAAGAAAAGACTTGAATGGGCAATCCAGGGAAAATAATCAGCAATGACAGAGCTCCAGGAAACAGGAACTCCTCTGGGAAAATGCCTTTTCAATCACATGCATCTTTTCTCAGGCAGAGATTCAGTTCTGCTTGCTGCAGAAATACTGACCTGCTTGTTCCTTCCTTAATGCATGCAGATATTAGGGGGTGCTGCTTGGTTTTCAGAGGCAAACATATTCAGAGTTTGCCACAGTGAGGATCTGTTCTGAGTGAAGAAAAAGCTGAGCAGAAAAACCCACCTCACGTGGAATTTGCCCATCTCCTTACTGCTATGTCCTCACAAGTTTTATTTACAGATACACAGTTCGCATGCCAGCTGTCCCCTGCGAGTGGTGAGCAGCAAATGGAACTCACCCCAGATAAGCAGTCTTGATATTTCCTTCTTCTGCTAGATCTGTCCTCACACAAGAGGATCAAAACATGGCACGCCTCGTGCCTGGGGGACAGAGAAGGATCTGGGAGTGGATCTGCAGCTAGTGTAGGGAAGGTAACATGTGGAGCTAAACAGTGAACCCTAGGATGTACCGTTTTGTTCAACTTGCAGTTCTGCTGTGACATCAGCAGGCTCCGATAAAAGGGAATACGAAGGGAGTTGATGTTTAGCCTGACTGTCCAAATTCTGGGAAACCCCCCTTGCAGCGCTGGTGTTAATTAGTAGCACAAGCTGTGTGTGATTCTTGCTTGTACCCCACGTAGGTTGGTCTTACAAAGTCTTGCTCATTGCTTGCTTGTAAATATTCATCGTTCATTTTATGCCTGCCAGAGTAGGAGCTGTTGCTCACAGAGCTTCCAGGGAGCATCGCTTCAGCCTCAAGAATAAGGTGGTCACTTGACTGGAGTGGAAGTCAGGCCAAAAACCTATGTCTCTGTATTACAGTAAAAACACTTGGTCAGTCTGAGGTATAGGCTCTGTGCTGTGCACACAGTGAAAATCAGAGAACCAGCACCACTATCAGAGCAAGAATGGATGTTTATTTGGCACACATAATGCATTTGGGGCCCAGAGAGAAGTGAAGTAATGCAATTATTACTTCCTCTTGAAATATCTAAAAGTAGCCCCTATTAATCTGGTGGTACATACTGTCTGTGGCTTTACAATATCCAGTGGGCTGTGGCAAGAGATTTCTGTGAATCCTGTTAAGGCCAGATGCCTTCTGCTGGACTTCCAAGTGAAAGCATGCCAAGACATTGGAAAGCATGGAGAGCACACCACGTGATTTCTGTTTCTTTACATGACTCCTGCAGAGCTAATCCTTGATCTGTCTGAGATTAGCACCTATAAAATGAGTAAATACTTTCCTTCCTGTCAGCATTGCAGGTTCTTTGATAGTTGAGTGCAGCAGTAGATCAGTTTCATCCATGAGCTCATATGGCTTGCTAATTCATCACTGCAGCAACTAAAGGCAGTAATAACACTGTGAATTTATAACCAACCTCAGGGAGTCTTTCACCTTTCAGCACGCAATCCACTGCAAAACTATACTAATCAGTAATTCATGCTAGGCAGATGCTTTTCCTGCATGAGACTAAAGAGGTCCCACACTAGAAAATAATCCAAACTCTCTTGAAATGGATCAAACTCTTTCTACTGATGCTAGAGATGTCAGTGTTTTCCAGCCATTCTCCAGGAGGAACTGAAGGAGCTGGTCAGTGCACAGAACTCTTTGGCTAAATGCCCTCTCTTGCTACACCATCTCTAGAGTACTGTGCGTTCACATCTCTGGCAAGACTTTGAACCTGGTTGCCTTGGGTATCAGCCAGACCCAAGGGATATAATAATACCTCTGAAATGGGTAGTTCTTCCATTTTGAAATGGTGCTACCTTCGTTTTTTGAAACAGATGAGTCCTGGCTCCCCAGGAAAGCCTGGATTTCTAGGATGTGGGAATCACGTGTGAGCCCAGTCTTGGCTGCTCACTGAAAACTCTGAGGAGAGGCAGATGATGAAGTCTTATTTGCACTGAGCCTGCTTTGGTGCCCAGCAGTCAGAGCTGGTCTCTGCAGCATTTCACACCATAGCAATTTGGGGTGAACTATTCATTAAGAATTTCTTGGGGAGCAAATCCTCTCACTTCTTTAATGAATGCCACAAATATCAGCTCAGCGCTTTGCCTGAGCATACATGATAGAAAACATCCTGTGCTTCAGATCCCTGGATGATTTCATGTAAGCCATGCCCTCTTTGGTTTGTAGGGACTGGACAATGCCAAATGCTGCTTTTCTTTATGTGTGTTTCATCTTTGGTTGTTTTGTAAAATATGCCTGTGCTGATAACTTAAACATGTTGGAATATGTTGGGCTTGCTTAGTGAAAAAATACTCCCTTAATTCTTTGTTATTGTTCTTGTTATAAGGTAATTGATGAGTTTGTATTTCAACAGTGACGCTCACCTCATTGTTTTGTAGTATTTAGATGGATTTGTTGCTGGTTGCCTTTTTTCAAGTAGGAGGATATGAAGCGCACTCGCTCATATGTAACTCTTCTGCTGAAACAAGTCAAGAAGATAAAGTGAAGATTGAAGCCACATGCAGAGGGTTATTCTCAAAAGCTAAAGGTACCTCAGCAAATAGTTTGACATCCATGGAAAGAACAAATCAAGGTTTTTTGATATGGACTTTAAGAAAAATGATATATCCGTTTCCCAGACTACCATGAAAAAAAAGTATGAAAGAAGCTAATTGCAAGGTGGTATAAGGCAAGAAATGTAGAAAAGTTGGCAGTAGGTACTTCATACTTTCCATGTACAAAGTGGCATACAGTGTGGAGGCACTTCTGGAGGTATATCCATATAAGCCTTCGCAGGTATACAGATGCCTTTCTTTTTTAATTTCCTAATGCTTCTCTGAAAACCAGGGAAACCTTGCTGAGGTTTTTCCTGGAAGTGACATTTCACTTTCCCTACTCAGATGAAAGAAGAAAGTGAACTTCTCCAAGTTCTCATGATTGACCTCTAAAGAAATTGTTAAACACAAACAGGAAATGTGTCCTTACTCTCACACCATGCATAGGTGAACTCACATCCTTTTCACACATGCTGTTTAATAAATGCCATTGTATAAGATTGTTTTGGTTAAATTAGATCACGCATCTTTTAAGTCCTGGAAAGATGAGCAGCAGATGGATGAGGTGCTGAGGAGATGCCCACTCTATTTCTGGCTGTGCACTTGTCCTACCTCAGAGGTATCTCTCTGCCTTGTGTTCCTGCTGAAAAATAATTTGGATCACTTTTTTGTCATTGTTGGCAAAACTGTTGTCTCAGAAGACATAAACATTTCTGCACTGAACCTGGAGTGCACAGAGCATGGAGAAACATGTGATCTTTGTCACAAAACAGCCCTCTTGCCTTGCAGTTTCTATACATACAATGATGGGCAGTTTCAGGTACTAACAGTAGAGATGATCTCCCATACGCAGTGGTTAAAACCTGTTTCTACTATCATACCCTCTACTGCTTAAACTGAAATCACGAATAGATTTTCAAGTTAGTATTGCACTGGCATAGCAGGATCCCGTTACAGCTGTTGTCCTTGGATGTTTGTACTCTCCTGTAGGCACCCATGCAATTATGATTCATGTCCAGTGCACGTTTTGAAGACAGTCCTCAGAACTTAAGAGAAGAATGAGCAGTTTGTTGGTCTTCTTTCTACAGGTCATCTGTGGCTGACATGTGGGTGAAAATGAAGACATCTGAACTAATGAAAATTAGATGACCCAGGATGTGGAACCTGACTACTTTAGGCTAAATTGTGGGTGGATTATATTAAGAGGCATGAATCCTGTTTTTGTTCTCTTATGTTTTTGTTCTCATATGTTGACCAAATCAGCTTAGTACCACAGTAATTCAGCTTACCCATGCATGTGTGGAAGGAGAACGAGATCTTTAAATAGTTAAAAACTGTAAAGATGGGGTATAAAATAGGTGGTGCCTCAGTGACTTTCATCTGTTGTCTACTTACTGCTTGAATGCTTCTTTCCAGACTTGTCTGCCTACTTATCCATCAAATCTGTGATTGTACTGGAGTTTAAAGGAATGCTTTGTGAACCTACCAAAAGCCCAACAACTTGAGTTTTTAATTTCATTTGGTGTCAACATGTATTTAAACTTACAAATGCAGCAAAGCAAGGAACACTTGTTTTTTTCTCTTAGTTCTTTTCAGAGGGGTAACTTTGTGTGCTGATCTGTTCGTGTCAGTAAATGGAGCCAAACTTCATCTTCTGGAGGCGGCCTCACTTTCTGGAGTGCAGGTGGTTCCAGAAATCTCTGCTGAGGTACTTTGTCCCCTGGCAGAGACATGGAGAGGTGCCTGATTTAATGCTGGCCGCTCGCTACATTCATATGCATATCATCAGTCTTATTGTTTCTTCATTTTGGCCTTTCACACACCACCAGGAGGGAAAGAAGCATTTATTTCAGTGAAAAATGCGATTCTGGAAATGTAAATTATCAGCAGGCTGCAGGCATGGCTTGCTCTCCCCTAAAATTAATTGTAGCTCACTTGTATTTAGCACATGATATTGTCCATTTAATTTAGCACTGAAGTTTTAGAAGGATTTCTAGAGCATCGTTTACAATTTCATTACCCACTTTCAAGAGCAAAAAACAGCATAAGTGAGCAAACATTTAATTCAGCAGCAGCAGAGAACATGCCAATTAAGCAGCAAGAGAAATCCTACTAAGCCATTTCAGAAATTGCTTCTCAGACTTGAAGTGTGCATTCTTCAAATAAACATTGGTACTCTTTTCCCAGAAAGAAACGTTTAGTATTTATCATCAACATTAATGGGCCTGTGAGAATTATGTTGGCCAATGAGAAGATTGCACTAGGATTGAAGTAGTTTTGAGATGCAGTTATGTAACTTTCTTCCTGTTGCATAAAGTCTTCCTAATTTCAGTTTATCTAAAGAAAAAAAAAAATTACAGAACATCCAACTTACTTATTCATAGATTAACTGTGAGTGGATCTTGTGCAGACAACACAATCAGGAGTCTTCACCCAAGTCTGCTGAGATCCATGCTAAGAAATGTAAGTTTTCTGATTTTTTTTAACTATATATTCAAAAAAAGAGTCAGTTATCTAAGATACAACTGCTTCATGAAGCATATGAAGTTATATATTTGTGCACAGACTTTGTGCTAATACATATTAACATGCTCTTTTTGGCTGGAAAAGTAACTTTTTTTCTGAATTCTCAACAATGTGATAATGTTTGTTGTGAAACCTCTCTTTTTATTGAAGCCCAAAATTTCCTGTGCAGCTGTCTTTTCATTTTTGCCCCATTGGAAGGAAGAACTAACATACTATTCAGAAAGGAAGAACCTCTGCGAGGCAGTAGTCAGATCCAGCTGTGTGAGTGGCACAGCCTGTTGTCCTGAGGAGAGAATGAGGACTCCTCTCTGGTTTGGTTTGGTTTGGGCAGAGATGACATCTGCATTCCTGCACCCCACACCTC